AAAATTCCAGCACTCTCCATGAACAGCTAAATCAAACCGAGCCTGCAACATTTTAAATTTTGCCATTTTTTACTTTCTTTAGGAATTGTATTTCTCTCTATTGAGATGCTAGGTTAAGTCCAGGTTATGGTTTCTCTACTTGACCCTGTTTTTGGGGCATTTGTCTCTTTCCAACGACAAATATTGTTTTGCTTATGTCTTCCATATTTGAAATGCACATACGTTGAACAATCTTCTAACTTAAGGTGGAGTAGGCGGTTACTGGGATCAAGGTCACGGTCACTGGTGCTTGTACATATTTATTGACCTATTTCTTTCATATTTAATAGGTTGATACCTTTGGTGGTTCTCTTACTTAAAGATGAATCATGTTAAGGTCTTATGCCTAGCAAAACTAAATGGTTATGACTTTGTCAAGTTACATGTATATTTATGCGTGTTTACATTTTTCTTGACGAGTGACTTGGTAAATTTGTTCGGTTATTGATGAGATGAGAATTTTGACCATAGTCAGCTCGCGCTCAACATTGTTAAACTAGAGAGAAGTGGAGTCCCTAAAGAAAGTCTATTAATATGACACAATTTTAAAGAATGCAGATTCGGTTCGATTGAGCCTTTTCATGGACGGTAATGGAAAAAGCAAGCTACTGTAAGCAAACATAAGCTAATGACCGGATCCAAGATGGCGCCCTTTTGTTTTCTTCAGATGTATATCTTTCCTTGTTTCATACTATTATGGTTACAATTTTGTGTTCCTTCTTCTAGTTGTTGTTCTCGTTTACGGTAGGTTTTTTCCCTTTTGTCGTTAGTTTTTTTTTTAAATTATGGTTATTTCTTCCCCGACCCTTGAGTCCCCTTACACTGTACCACTTTACCTTGCAGGCCGCTAAATCATTCAATAAATCTAATTCTTTAGTTTCCTTGTCGGTATATTTTCCTGTTGTGTCTGATCAAAGTGATTATTATGTCTGTGATATGCCTTGTGCCCTATCTTGTTTTTGTTTGGGGTCCTGCTGGGCTCCTTGCCGCTGGTCCTTTGTTGCTAGGTCGTGAACGCGCATTTCCTTGGTGGTCTTTTTAATCATATTTGGAGTAAAGACCTTTTAAAAGTACGATTTTTTCATAACAACCGATCTTGCATTTTGCGCATGTGCATTCTTAGTAGGGCAAAAGCATATTAAAAATAGACTACATTTAGCGTAGTTGAAGTCTTTAAAAGACGTGATTATAAGTTATGACACCCAGAAAACAGAAAATTTTATGCGATTGATGATGAATTAAAGCGGTAATTATGATATTTATAAGAGATATACAAAATTAGCGGGTCTTAAAATTCAATGACCTCTGTTCAAGGTATCATTAAATGACTTTTTCATCAGTAATTTAAACTGAAACAGCAGGGTGTTTATGAAAAGTTTTATTACCGATGTATTACATAATATTACTTTGAAAGTGAATTGGCAAGGCAGTAAGTGTCAAACGGATTGACACGTGACCGGTTGTTATTTGCCAGTTAGTTTACACGGGACGTTATAGTACAATGACATAGTTTAAAACTTAAAATTATGAAAATTGTAATGTAATTCAAGTTTCTTTTATTTATTCCAATCTCGTCAATGATTATTAATTTTGTAAAGTGACAAATAGTGTACGTGACTAGCATTTTCATGTGTTACGAAGAACCGGATAAAATGTGTTTTATTTACCACCTATTTAAACTTATTAAGAGTTTGAAAAATTATTTAAATATATTTATATGACTTAAAAAATTCTCTTTGGCATTACAGTCAAACCGGATAAAGGATAAAAGAAGGTAAACTGAACACTAAAAATACATAATCAAGTGTTCCGACTTATTTTCAGAATGATAATTAACCTCGATTTCATTATTATACAGTTATAAAATTTCTTTAGCTTTAATATGGAGGATTTCAACAACAATTAAATTGACTTCTTTATTTGATAATATATTTCCACATTTTTTACAACAATTATCTCAATGTCAGGTCTTAAACAATCGTCTTTTCCATGCCCTTTTATGACAATCTTGGCCCCAAAGCTATAAAGGTATCTTCTGTGTTTCTATTAAAAGCTTTTTTATATGATTTTCTAATTTTTAGCTTAAACTAACTCGGAAATTGTCTATGAATTTCTACTACATTTCTATGTCGAGCAATGCTCTTTTTGCCCTACGCAGATTGCGCACACGCGAGAAAATACTACTTCCGGTCAATTTTTCATAGCAACGGATCGCGTCGTAAAAAGATATATCACAAGCTAATGTAAAGACCATACAAGGGATTACTTTGTGATTCATTGAGTCAAGTTCAAGGTCAATGTTTCTTAAAATCAAGAACCTGGTATCGTCACATCGCGATGTTTCTTAATTATTATATTCTTATAATGTAATTGTTATGTATTATTAATTGATCATAGGTGGTTCTTAATATTAGTAACATTGATATAATTCCTTTTTTTCGATACTTCAGCTCTTGAAGAATATAGTGAGCAACCTGTACCATCTTAAAAGTTCAAAATATATACCACAAACGTTTGAAGATTTCATTGAAAAGGAAATAAATTCAGACACATCATGTTGCAAGTTCACTGTTGACCAAGGTATGTTTTCTACATTTCCTCCCTATATAAAAACGAAATAACACAAATTTATATTTATAATTTCCGAAATGTTTCTGTATTATTAAAGAACGGAAGACATGTGCATTATTTTACAACAATGTAATTGTCATTCATATTATTCATCTTTTAACAGGTTTTTAATATGTTGAAATATTTATTTCACTGTCAAACATTTCCACCTTGAATGCCATGATCTTGCACAGGTTCATGTTTGATATAATCGAACAATTCGCTACTAAGTTTCTTCCAAATTTGACCTGTTGTTTAAAGGAAGTAAACCTGTGTATTCTAAGATTTAACTAACTCATGTTATAACAGGGTACTAAAATCTAAAAAAGAGTGATCCCATTAACATTTTCACAACAAAATTACATGAAAATTGCAGACTCTGTTTGATCGAGTCTGTACACGAAGGATAAAGAAAAAGTGTAACATCCCTTACGTTCTCTAGGACCAACTTGAGTGGTACTTATGTAGGAGCAGTAGTCCAGTGGTAGGACGCGCGCTTAGGGATCGAGAGGTCCCGGGTTCGAACCCCACTAGGGGCACTGCTAATTTCCTTGAGCAAGAAATTTACCTGCGATTGCTTTACATCACCCAGGTGTAAATGGGTACCTGCGAGGGTGGTATAAATCCGTTGCGCCAAAGTGTCGGCTGCACTAAGCGGAGTTAAAAGACTCCCCAGGGAGATTGATAGATAGATACCAGTAGCCCGATGACCAGGGGTAATAGCTGTAAAGTCGGTGAACGTGCGTAAGCATGAAACTTAGACTATAAAATGCAATTACTTTTTTTTTTTACTTTTTTACTTAATTTTCAACTCTTAAAAGTGTTGGAATCAGTTATCCCAAAGGACCAACAAAAAATATAACAACACTGAAGTTAATACGCAGTGATTTTTCTCACTAAATTGGGAAGAGGCCTTAGTCTCTTGATTTTGGGGAAAAGTATCGCTAAAATTTCTAAATTGGGAAGAAAAAAAAAACAGGTTTAAGTTCAGATCTTTTGGGAAAACTGCATCATTTTAAGGAAAATTTCAATTGGGAAGAGTCCTTTTTTCGGGTCTGTTATATAAGCAGGAAAATTGAGTTTTCTCACTTAATTTGGAAGAGGCCTTGGCCTCTTGATTTTTGGGAAAAGTATCGCTAAAATTGCTAAATTTGGAAGAAAACAAGCAGGTTTAAGTTAAGATTTTTGGGAAAACTGCATGATTTTAAAGAAAATTTCAATTGGGAAGAAGCCTTTTTTTCAGAGTCTGTTATATAAGCAGGAAAATAACTACAGTGAGTACGAGGCCATTTTTTACAGCTGTCACACAACACTTGACACCTAATTTGGGAAGTATAAAAATATGGAAAAAGTGTGATCCCTCAGAAGCACGAATCAGAACAAAAATTGCAGACTCGGTTTAATTTAATGTAATTTCTGTACATGTGGGGATATTTAACATCCCTCACGCCCCTTAGCACCGGCTGGAGCGGCACTTTATTTTCAACACGTAAATGTGTTGGAATCCATGATCACGAAAGACCAGAAAAATATGAAAACACTGAATGAGGTTTACAAATCGTATGTTGACAATTGAAGTGTTCAGCGCGTTATAGCCATTCAAAACAATGTAGACATGTGTCCAAATGGCCGCTTTAAACATATTTTACATGTACAAAACATGCCTTTGACGGGATATCTATATCATTTAATGTGTTTTTGGCAAGACAATTAAAAAGAAGTCGGGCTGTTGGTCTCCAGGGAGGAATGATGTGGTATAGAAGGATCATACATACTATCTTGGTAATTATGCCTATGTTTATATCCTCACTTTAGACAAGGGGCGTTTTAATTTGCCCTGGCCTTTTGTACCTGAATGCGTGTGTGCGTTCCAAACTGTTGTGTCACGTGAAACTCTTAAAGTACATGAGCTAGAAACAACAGACATTACAGAAATGTTGATCAGAACAATTTTTCAATTTTCGATTTGTGTCCCGCGTATCTAAAAATGTAATGACGTAGAGTATAGTTATGCACCTGTTTAGTTTGTGGATTTATTCAGTCTTTGATTTAGTAAAAGAATTGAAATTTTCACTATTTGTCTGACATTGCCAAATAATTATTTTACCAAGAGTCATGGAACTTTAAATTTACAGAATTGTTGGTCACATTGTGTCGTTGTGCACCTTGGGGGGATGCTAGCGAATTTTTCAGTATTTGTAGTGTTATTGCTCCTTACTTAGTATTTCAACTTGTCATTACACTTTACAGGAATGTTGAATAGCATATTTAGTTGTTTTGTCGTTTTGAGCGTTCTTTAGGAATTCTTTATGTCTCAACCACTTGGGTTGGGTGGGTCATGTTGAATATCCTTTGTCTGTCTGTCTGTCTGACCAGTCCAGAATTATGAATATGAATAAGAGATTTATTGTCAATATTGAAGCCGAATTCCACCAAGTCATTATCTTCTGTAGGTGACCCCAGTCAAATGTCACCACCTATTGTAGGATTTACGGTATTTATTCTGCAACTGAAACATTACCAGGTCAATAAACGAAGGATGTGAATGTTAACGTACATGTGTTTTTTTTGTCATACATACTGTTTACTTATGCTCCCGGAAGGGTGAGCACATAGTCGCCGCTATGTCCGTCCGTCCGCCGCTATTCTTTTCCGGGACATAACTTTGAAACAACAAGAGGTATCAACATGAAACTTTGTAGGTTTTTTAGGTAGAAAGATGTCATTGAGTAGAAGTGCAGGGCAAAAAACCCGAAAACAAACACATAGTTGTCTTGCCTAATTTTGGAGTTATTGCCCTTTGTTCATTTTTAAACTTTGAACTTTGTCCGGGACATAACTCTAAAACTATAACAAATATCAAAATGAAACTTTGTAGGTAGATAGATCTCAATAAGTAGAAGTGCAGTGCAAAAGAATCATAACTCTTGAAAATCTTGTCTAATTTCGGAGTTATTGCCCTTTGTTCATTTTTACACTTTGGACTTTGTCCGGGACATAACTCTGAAACCTTAAGAGGTATCAACATGAAACTTTGAAGGTAGATTGATCTCATTAAATAATAGTGCAGTGCAAAAGTACCTTAACTCTGCTTTGCTTTGTTTTGGAGTTATTGCCCATTGTTCATTTTTTTCACTTTGAACTTTGTCTGTGACATAACTCTTAAACTATAACAGATATCAACATGAAACTTTGTAGGTAGATAGATCTCATTGAGTAGAAATGCAGTGTTGCAACAACAAATTGACATTATGCCAGAGAAGAGATTGCTCCGCCCACTGATTCACGTGACCCGGTCATTCAGAACCTTAGACAAAACACGGTACCGACGTTTACAGGCAACTATTATGCCATTAAAGTTACTAATGAATTTACCTTATATAATTTGGTATATATAAAAGTTTAATGTTTTTCTTGAATAGTTCAATGTATAATGGTATTTTAAAAGAAGTAACAAATAACTTCATTCATGCATTAATGATGAATAAAACGTTTGGCAAAGATCTTGTTATATTTCTCGTTGACTTCAAGGAAGATGTTACTGACAAAATATAATTTTAGTTTACAAATTCAAAGATAGTTAAAATTGAAGTAGCGGAACATATAGATAGTAAAATTATATCAATAACACAGTAACATTTACAAATGTTTTTAGGGTTTTATGTTCGAAATCATTTATATATAATGCATTTGTGCATAAGTTATTAAAATTGAATGAGAAAATTGCCCTTGCTTAACTCTGTAGTATGATACATGATTATATGTATATTTGTATATTGGATATGTTTCGTGATAAAACGCAATATTACTCACTTCAAAATAAGTTTCGCATACACCAGACGGTGAGACCTCGGTTTTAAATTAAAACCGTGATCAGGTATGATGTAATTGAAGCAGATGTATCTAAATATTTAATCCTAATTCATTGACCTTTAATAGAAATATTCAGGTAGGATAATTTCACATAAAATATTCATAGCATATTCTCTCATTTTATTCGCAAGTACTTTTTTCTACTGCAGCATTTTATTGACACTATGTTAAGAACGAACAAAAATTATAATATATTATGTGATTATGAATAGACATAATTGTAATAAAGGAAGGAATAGAGAATTTGTTTAATTGTTTTCCCTGTTTAATGCATTGTGGTATAGCCAGACTTCATAACCTCTGATCGCAATTCAAAATTCCATTTTAATTAGTTCCGCCCATTGTTTTCTCGTTTAGGGCAAACGCATTATTTTACTTGCGGACCTTATGCCGCTTTTCATGGAATGGCACTTACATGTCACATTGAAGGTTCCATGATAACCACCATATAAACACATCTGCGGATGTTTCAAAATTCCAAATTTTACCAGGTCACGTTAAATGTTGAATACAGCTTAGGCCGGTGATAGGGGTTTGACGGTTACTTGCACATTCCATTACCGTCCATGCCGTCTATGAACAGACACAATCAATTTGAGCCTGCAACATTTTCAATTTTGTCGTTTTGTACGTTCTTTAGGGATTCTTTATTTCTCTCTATTCTAACTTTCGTCAGAGATGTAGACAACATCTAGATATTATACATGTCTCTGCTTTTGTACCTGCTATATGACTTATTATTTTTATATATACAAAGTTACTGATATTTTTTTTTGTAAAATGAACTAACTGACTCCATCTGTCATTAATTCAGTTGGTAACTTTGATATACCGATTTAATAGCTTTAAATTGAAACAAGATTGCATTTGTGAAAAATGCTATGCCACCGCATTAATACAACACTAAATAGTAGTGAAGGAACAGATGTTTTTGTTTCTTTACAATTGAAGATTGTCAAAATGCATAGATCCCTGACCTATCTAATTCTTATTATCAGATTAGTGGTTAAATCAATTGTTATTCAAATGAAAGATCAGAGTAGGAATATATCAATGCAGTTGAGTCTAGTGACTCTGGTGGTGAAGGTCATATTTCACAAAGCGTAAATTTCATGACTACATCAAAGGACAACACAGTAAGACACTTTGTCAAAATCTAGGTCAGCTGGTATCAAAGTTCACTTTACATCTTAATCTGTGCACATGGTTCAAATTTCATAGCTGTACACCAAAGGACAAGAAGGAATGTCACATCATCAAAATCTAGGTCACCTGATATCAAAGTTCCATTTTACAACTAAAACTATGCACATGGTCAAAGTTTCATTGCTGAACATCAAAGGCCAAGAAAGTAGGTCACTGTCCACTTGGGCTAGGCATAATTTTGACCCAAGGGTTTAATTCAAAACAATCTTGATACAGGTCCACCAAACAACATTTCATGTCAAATATCTGAGCTGTAGCTTTCTCCAATTCAGAAAATATTTGTTTTAGTTTCTGTTAATGAGAATCAATGCCCCCGGGCAGGGCCAATTTTGACACCAAGGGAAAATTTTGGTAGAGGACCTAAAGATGATATTATATAGCAAACATCAAAGCTCTATGCCTTGTACCTTCAGACAGGAAGATTTGTTAATTTTTTACTATATGTACATAGTGAAAATCAATGACCCCGGGGCGGGGCCAATTTTGACCCTGGGCTAAAATTTGAACAAGCTTGGTAGAGGTTCACTTCGCAAAGTCTCATGCCAAATATTTAACCTCTAGCCTTTGTCAATTCAGAGAAGAAGATTTTTCAAGTTTGTACTTTATACATATAAGAAAAACTATCGCCTCTGGAGCAGGGCAGTTTTAACACTAGGGGCATTATTAAAACAACTTTAGTATAGGACCCATAGATGATATTATATACCAAATATCAAAGCTCTAAGCCTTGTACCTTCAGACAAGAAGATTGTTTGATTTTTCACTATATGTACATAGTGAAAATCAATGACCCCTGGGGGTGGGCCAATATTGACCCTCGGGCTATTATTTGTACAATCTTGCTAGAGGTTCACTACACAATGTTTCATGCAAAATATCTAACCCTAGCCTTTGTCAATTTAGAGAAGACGATTTTTAAAGTTTTTACTATATAAGGAAAACCTATGACCCCCGGGGCGGGGCTAATTTTGACAGTACAGGCAACATTTGAACATCTTTGGTAGAATACTTATAGATGATATCCTTTAACAAATATTTAAGCTCTAAGTCCTGTTCCTTCACGCAATAAGATGTTTTGATATTTTTACTATATGTACATAGGGAAAATCAATGACCCCCGGGACTAGGCCAATTTTGACCCCAGGGCTATAATTTGAACATTCTTGCTAGAGGTTCACTACACAATGTTTCATGCAAAATATCTAACCACCAGCCTTTGTCAATTTAGAGAAGACGATTTTTAAAGTTTTTACTTTATAGATATAAGGAAAACCTATGAGCCCTGGGGCGGGGCTGATTTTGACACTAGAGGCAAAATTTGAACAACTTTAGTAGAGTACCTATAAATTACATCACATACCAAATAAAAAACGTCTAAGCCTTGTACCTTCATACAAGAAGGTATTTTAAGTTTTTACTATATGTTCATAAAGTGAAAATCAATGCCCCCGGGGCGGGCCGATATTGACCCAAGGACTATAATTTGAACAATCTTGGTAGAAGTCTATCAAACAATGCCTTATGCAAAATATCAAAGCTCTAGGCCTTTTGGGTCTTTACAAGAATATTTTTTTTAATTTATTCTTGTAATTCCTTTTGGTTGTCATGGCAACCAGATTTCTGCATGGAATGAAATTTTTGGAAGCCCTTCACCCAAGGATCAAACCTGCCAAGTTTGGTTGAAATTGGACTAATGGTCTTTCACAAGAAGATTTTTTAAGTTCACTATATAATCTATAGAACACACAAACATACATATATATACAGACATACATACAAACACACAGACACACACACACAGGTGAATCACTAGATGCCACCGCATCGCAGATGCTGCGGTGGCATAAAAAATCTAAAATAATTTCAATATAAACACTGCTGCACCATTGTCTTATACAAATAGTTTGTCTAAGGAATATGGCGGATTTTGCAGACATCTTAATTAGCGTGAAACTGATAACGATCGCCGATTGGCTTATCTGTAGGACCCCTGCCAGCTTGATTGACAGGCGGCATAATGTCAATTAACTTACTTTGCAATTCTGCTTTCTGAACACAGAAGGAGCAAACTCTTGGGCAGTGTATAGCTGAATTAGCATATACTGTAACCCAACGAATATTCGCGACCAATTAATATTCGCTTTATTCGCGGATTGTCACGAAGCGCGAATATTTGTTTGCGCGAATAAGTCCGCACGATTTCGCGAATAAATTGGAGAGAAATTTTTATTTTAGACGTTGTTCATGCAAAGCTACTTGACCGGATATATTCGAATTTTACGGGCACCTGTTAGGATGTAATGAATTGTTATGAATATTGCCATAAAGCAATAAAAACACAAACTAAGTAAACTACTACTATTTTATAAATATCAAAAGAACTCTATGTCAATATAGCAATCAAAATAAACATCCACATTTTAATACTATTAAATATAATAATAAATGTTTTAATAAATCGTTTGACAAAAGTGGGAAAACTATCGAGCATCACAAAAGGCTATTGTTTTTTGGATCCTATAAAATAATTGTTTGAGTGAATTGTTAAGACAAAGGTGGTATAAACCTATCGAGCATCACAAAGGGTATTGGGTGTACATAATTACAAACAGTGAAATACAAAATGGTTTCATACTAGTATCGATTTTTACCCATCAAACTTAACAGCCTGTATTATAACATAATTTTCTCGGCGTGGGTTCGATCCCTGATTGGAGAAGGTATTTTTTTATGAAACGCTTAAATTGAATTTCTTAAAGATTTTTCTAGATAAACTGTGGGTACAAAATATAAATATGTTATAGAAATAACGACATGTTTAGAAATGAAGACGAACTATGCGTACATATATAGAGAAAATGTTTTGCTGAATTTTGATCACAATTCACTTACCAATACAATATAAGGCTAGCGTATTGTTAATCCCATTTAAGACACCAATAATGACCTCAATTATTGAAGATTAATAGTCGGCAAATGGATTTACGGCCCCATCGGACTCTCCAATCCGCGAATATTTTTTTGTCGGAAATCAAGAAAACGCGGAAATTAATATTCGCGAATATGTCCGACCTCGGCAAAACGCGAAAATTTGTATTCGCGAATATAAATTGGGTTACAGTACTTGCTATATACTTAATATTTTCGTGTAAGGGCAAACTAAATGTAATGTTAATCTACTGATAAATAATACATGTTATTGGATTTCGTATCAATGTGCTGATCATTTTTACAGTAGGCATGTATATACTCATTTATAACCGTTTTATTGATCAGTAACTTTGGCTTTACGACCTTCGGGTGTCCCAAATACTCTTATTGCTTAGCAACTTATGTTATGTTTATACGTGTACATTTTGTTTGAATATAAACAATGATTGCACATCAAAGTGAATTGGTCCAAAATGGAAAGTCTGCAGTAAAATAAAGAAAATATTTTGATAGACTGTATTGATTTTCATTTGAGGCAAGAAATCACAAAATATTTAAATGTTGTTGGTAAAAATGTGATACATGATTGGATATTACATATTTATATGTAGTAGATAATAAAGTGTTCTAAAACAAAACTTTATTATTCATCGTATAAATTTTCAAACTAAACCGCTGATAACTTGATCATCATTAACACTATCCAAATGATGCATTCCTTTTGTTTTTACCAGTATTTGAAATACTTCTTGAAGAAGTGCCCATTGAAGGTTTAATCACATTCCCAGACAGAGTTCTTTTTGTACTCGGTTCAACATCAGGTGTCAAGTGCTGCGTGCACATGACACCTGCTGTTGAACCGAGTATAAAAACGTTGCAAAAGTTGCCCCGTACTTCACTTTAGTGTTGTTATATTTTTCTGGTCCTTCGGGATCATTGATGCCAGCACTATTAAGTGTTGATAATTTGGGTTCCGCTCAAGCCGGTGCTAGGGGACGTGAGGGATGTTGCACTTATTCATTATTCCTCATGTACAGACTCAATCAAACCGAGTCTGCAATTGTCATGTAATTTTGTTGTAATTAATGCTTCCGAGGGATAACATTGTTTCCAGATTTATATATTCAATTTAACAATGTGGTGTACAATCCCATGATGCATTGTGCAGTCTCAAGGCTAAGGTCACACTTGAAGGTCAAATATCACACAATATTTTGTCCGGTCTTTAAATCCTATATCATTTTAGGCATTTTGTTCAAACAGGGCTCAAATGATCACCTCAACATGGCCATGGGCTAAACTTTCAGGCTTAAGGTAAATGTTACACTTGAAGGTCAAAAATCGATTATTTTGTGTCTGCACTTAAAATTCTATACTTTACAAATTGGATAAAATCGACTCAAAGATAGTAGTTTTTTGCATTCATATTTTTATCTTTAAAAAAAAATGATGAATTGCACTTAATAATACTCTTTTTCAAAGACATGAGTTGTGGGTATTCGTCAGCTCAAGTTTGGATATCATTTGATTCAAATTCATTATTGTTTTTGCCTTATTGAGTAAATGAACACTATCGGTTTAACTAGATCATTCCGACTCTACATCCAGGAATGATTGTATTTTAATTTTGTTCTCACTTCAATAGCAGTAAGGTAATGTTGTATCATAGTTTGGAGGCCTTTCTGTTGAAAATGTGTCAGGGTTAAATCGTATACATATACATGCACAGTGCGTTAACTGGAGTGCGGGTATTAGTTATCCGCACTCCAGAGCATGCCCATTGATTGGCTCATTTTTTGCTTGCTGGGGTTTACATATTGTGACGGCAGAGAAAAGGAAAGCGACAGAAATGTCATATTCAGATGTTCGTTCATTGGTTCATTTTTGCCGGGGTTTCATATTGTGACAACAGGGAACGTGCTTTTATGTTTGACTATGATACAAAAGAGAAAGAACACCAAAACACTCGGCAATCTGATTAATACTCGGGGGCTACGCCCCCTCGTACAAATCAGATAGCCTCGTGTTTCGGTGCTCTATCTATTACATAACATACTTGTCATTCTCAATATTTACTTATAACAAATGACAGATAAGCATAAACTATGCAAAATTCATTGATAATATTTACAGATGATCAGTGGGATAAATACTCAAGTCGAAGCTTCAATGGAATTTCAAGCAATTGGCCTATTTACATTACAAGACCGATTGCACATACAGAGTATATAAACTTTCAGGAGGACGTTTTAAATATTCGTTTGGCACAACGGCAACTCTCAGACAAAATAGCAGAATTACCAAATGTTCTGTTTCTAGAATATCATAATGAAATTTTGCTTACATTAAGCCAAAATAATACAATTTCTTCAGAGTCATTGACAGACAGCACCGCTCTTTATTCAGATATTAAAACAGTGCAACAGTGTTGCAAGATGTTTCACAACACAGAATCAATTGTCAATCAAAATAAACATTGGTGGATTCAGTTCACTAAAGAATATGTGCCTAATTATTTACCAAAAAATAATTTTGACCTTTTACCTATTTCATTACCAAACATTTGCTCATATATAGAATTAAAATTGAATCATATAGATTGTGAATATATTTCTGCATTAAATAGGGGAGATTGTATTTCAAAGAAAATATTTGATGCATGGTTAAATAGATTGATCTTCAGATCTATAGATGACAAACATTTGGGCATGCCTTATAAAAGAAAAATGACTGACAAAAGGTATGTTTTGGAAAACGTTAGAACAAATATAATGTCAGAACCTTGGCAAACTGTTTGTATTCATGACCATGAAAATAGTGACCATGCCTCAGAAACTGAAGAAAACCATTGTAACCATAGTAATTTTCATTCAGTGGGGGCTTTGCCAAATGAAATATTTCAAGCTGGAAAAAGAACATCAGTTGTAAATTTGAATCAAAGACATCAATTTAGTGGAACAACAGTTGACCTTAACACACAACCTGCTGGTTTACAGCAAATAGAAGAAAATGACGAGTCGCCAAATAAAAAAGAAAAAGATCCTATGAAATCTATTATTTGTCATGAAAATGATATGTTTCCATGTAGTACTTACATTGCTAGTAATCCAGTGTTTACTGAAGAAAGTAAAACCGAACAACGTCAAGAAACAGCCAGAGCTGTTAACGGCAATGAAGATTTATTAGCAACTGATAATCCCATTAGTGATACTCAAGCGTCAGAAACTGGCAATGCTGCAGATATTCCTGCCAGTGATCTTCCAAGTCCCGAAGTTGACACAGCTGATCTTCAAAGGTTTGAACCGTTAATACATATAATTGACAAAATAGCAGACGGAGAAAGAGTCCCTCCTCAAATAACAATGCGTTATGAATTACTCCGATTTTGCACCTTAAGATCATTTCCCAAACACAATAAGCCATATATAACAAGAATAGCTCAGGCAGGTTTTTATTTTGCAAACGCTGATGATGAAGTTGTTTGTTATTGCTGTGCACGTAGAAAAAGCAATTGGCGCGAAGATGATATTCCTATAGAAATCCATAGAGAGTTAAATCCTAATTGCAATTTCCTTCTCACCAATTTAGAGGTAAACGTGCCTGTCAGAATGTCAGAATTATTAATCCAAGAAAGTAATAGATCTACATGTTCTCAAAATCTTGAAAATGCCAACCAGATTAGCTCAGCTTCTACTTGTGACACAATATCATGTAATACAAGTGGATCGACAAGCTCCTCTAGTGTAACAGCAAATACACCTGCTCCAAATGTGACACAGGCTATATCATCACCTGTTGTTTCAACAAACAGTGATCTATCTCAAAATAGACTGCAGTCAAGAGCACATGGTAATTTTGTAATGACCTCATCAGCGAGTTCATTTGTACAGAAGCACCAATCAAATAGTGGCTCAACTTCAAATGGTATGGAAGCCTCTCCAGTTGAGAGTTCAAGTTCATTGAGACCAACATCTCAACTGTCTGCTCCAAGTATGTTAAATAAGATATTTATCAAAAATGATATGGACATTTATGTTTGGAAAATTTTTTGTATGTTATTAAAAGCTTTCTATTATTTTATTTACAGGCATTTTATGCGTCAGAAATCTATATTTTTTATTCTTTTGAAATCTCAAACATGTGTTTAATAATGTTTTATTAATGGATTTAGAGCATGTTTAAACAACCAAAGAAAATAGGTTGAATGTACAGTTATGTGTCATTAATGTAGCAATTTAATGTAAACAAAATAGTAATTTGAGCAAAGGAAGCAAAAGTTTTTTTTAAGCAAATGGTATGTATTTGGAAACTGTAACAAATTACCAAAAAAATCAAAAGTTTGTGAGAGAAAAAAAATGAATACATTTCTGAGACATAATGGGCTTTCAGTTATTGATTGTAGATGTTTTTGAGTACTTGTTGTTCTGCTTAAAAGAGCTGTCTACTTAAAATATATTCTATCATTTAAGAGATTTTATTGTAAAAGATTCAAACCCTTAAATCTGAGTATGAAATTGAAGATAAACTTTATTTGTTTTGATTTACTTAAAGACATTAAGATTTTATAATTTCACTAAAAATGTTCTTTCACTTTTTAGACTCAATATAGTTGAGTTTGTGTAACAATTTAAACATGTGTTTAATTGTAAGAAGGTGTTTATTATGAAATGTACAAGTATAATATGAATATTACCAGGAACTGATACATCAACCACTCCAAAATATCCCAAGTATGCCAGCAAAACTGCCAGGGTGTTAAGCTACAATGATTGTGGAGACATTGTGATACCACCAGATAGTTTGGCTACCTCGGGATTTTTCTATGCTGGCTTTGGTGACTGTGTTAGGTGTTTTCAATGTGGAGTTGGTAAGTATATTTTACATTAATCTTTGTGTTAATATAAGAAAGGAGAAGCAAATATCATCCTCCTAATGGTCCTTACTAAACATATAATCCATGTCCCTCTTATCTTTTGTGACGTCTATGGCCAAATGGTTAAGGTCATTGACTTCAAACCACTTGCCATTAACAACGATGTGGGTGCAAATCCCCGCAAAAAACTTTGGAATCTTTCTGATAAGGAAGCTATCCAGCTAGCTTACAGAACATTTGTGGTTCAATCAGGTGCCAGTTTGTGCCTGAAATAATGCACAGAGAGGCAGTTGAGGTCTTCCTTCACAAGTAAAGCTGGAAAGTTTTGTTTGTTTGTTTCATTTTACGCCTTTTCCCAACACTATTTCAGTCATATAGGCGGGTAGTTTCGTAACCATCGTTCCTGGAGAGTTACACCAGTACTAGACAACCTTCCTCCGTGCTTAACTACCAAAGTGTCTCCCGGGGATCAAACCCACGCCAGAGAGGTAACTGGATTAGAAATCATCGACTCTAACCCCTCGACCACAGAGGCGGTAGCCATTTGACTTGTGTTGAAGCGATATAAGCCGAAACCCCCTCAAAAAACCTTTACCGAATCAGTATGAGAAACAGGAATTTTTTTTCGATCTCCAAATTTTAAATATGTTTTTTATCTCTTTTTTATCTCTGTAAAGTTACCTTAGAAATCCCAAACTTGATTGTATTTGAAAAACAATCTAGACCTTAATGATTACTGAATTTTAGTAATCGGGATTCCTTTTTTTTTCTTTTTTTTTTAAATAATTAGAAAAAAAACCCAAACAAACAAACCAAAAAAAAAAACAAAAACATACAAACAAAAAACAAATTTAAATTTAATGTGTAAATTATGGGTTTATTCTATGTTTTCAAATAATTTACCCGTGATTTTCAGGTCTTCGTCATTGGTCAGAAGAAGATGATCCTTGGATCGAACATAGTAGATGGTCAAAGGATTGTTTATTTGTTCAACAAGTGAGAGGTCAAGAGTTTGTGAATATTGTTCAAATGGCTGTACAGTATTCCCAGAATGTAAGTTTCTTAAATTTTCCTGACCTTTTTGTGTTGGTACACTTTCATAAAACTAATTTTTTGGAAAAGACTGAGGCAAAATTGTCATATATTCGATTTGAATTTTTATGCAATATTCTTTTAATGTTCTCGACATGAATACACTTAAGAAAAAAATGGCCAAATGTGTCAGGTTAAAGCATTTAGATTTCATGATAGTTATACCAGTGAACTATTGAAACGTTAAAGTAACTGTAAAATGAGCGACTCAGATTGCTTCAATCATACAATATCCACAATATCTGTTTTCTAATATCCAGTTTGTTATTGTCAAATGACTTGTTTTAAAATTACTTGTTGATTCTGTCTGCGTCTTCATTCCGTTCAATTTATGTAGATTCATTTCCGTTTCAAACGTTTTATACAGAAAAAAAACATGCTGGGACTTTTAAAAACTTCATTTTAGCGTGATTTGAGTTAATATGATAAATTTGATGTTTTGTCATTCATTTGCCTGAGTATCCCTTTAAAGAATCTGTCTTGTACTTACTAAAAATATCCTCATGTACATGATTTATTTATTTAATTGTGATTGTAATAAACTTCTTTATTGCTTTTAAAAATTACATACAAAACTATAATTTATGCCAGTATGTAGATGTCTTTAAGATATTAAACTGTTTACCTATTTATTTTAATTAGCAAAATGGAAACGACCAGACTCCAGGTGGAAGTCCTACCGGTAAGATTTGTTCTTTGTTATTAACTACATGTATGCACCAGTAACCTAGTTGCTCTAAGAATATTGAATACATTCTATGCTAAATAGTTTGTCCTTTATTGCAATTTTGTAAAATTTTCTACTTTCTCTTTTTAAAATGCTCAATGTTTTTACAAAATACCACCTTTTGAGGTGATCAATTAAATACCAGAAAAAGAACTGGAACAGAAATTTATGAATAACTCCAGCTTTTTTATATTTCAATTATTGAAAGACATCGTCATGTATTTTTTATCAAACAGGGTCTTCTTCCGATGCTGAGATAGAGCGCCAAATGCATACAGATGCTGCCCAAAGTGTACTAGAGATGGGCTACACTCCACATGTCATACGGAGTGCCTTACGTGCAATAAGAGATGGAAATGGTAGGCAAATTTAGTTTAACTTCAACTATATTAAGATATAAATTGGTGATTTATATAAAAACAAGTTCTATTTAATTGATTTAAATTAACCTAAGGCTTAAAATTTAATATTTTTTTATATCTCAACGGATTGCCCACATACTTGGACACAACCACGCTTTGGACGGACAATAACCTCGTGTTGATTAGACTGTATTTGACCTTCTATCATAAAGCTGAAGGATAAATTATTTTAATTTTGAATGATTCTTGCTATAATTGGCTTCATATATGGACGACAAAAACCTCAAGTAAACCATATCGATAATGAACTTCACTCATCAATGACATTGTCTGTAACTTTGATATTTTAGAATGGATTTTCTTCATACTTGAGCACAACATTCTCTAAGACATTGTTTTAGAAACGATTAATCTCAATATATAATTGACTCATAAATGACCTTGACCTAGAAGGTTAAATTATTGTAGTTTCACATTTTTGGGGCATTTACATGAATCACTTTTTACTGTCCCGTCTCAGGAACTGGTAGAGATATTAACTTGAAACTTCGAACATCAAAGTAATATCACAATGCATATATCTGTGTCAAATTTCATAAATCTGATAGGTAGTTCAACATAATAATGCCACTTAAAAAGTGGCAAAAGCTTTCTTGTTAATGAATTTTGTTAATACTTGGAAACAACAATCCTTTGGAAAGTTCCTTCAAGATCACCAGACAGACCTTGAGTCATTAATGACCTTTACTTCTAAATTTGCAAAAAATTTTCTAAAACTTGCTACTTAAATGTTATTATGCCCCTCTTCAAAGAAGAGAGGTATATTATTTTGCTAATGTTGGTCTGTCTGTCTGTCTGTCTGTCCCTCGGTGGACCACATTGTTTTCACTGATAACCTTAAAAAAATTTTTTTAAAAGTCTTCATATTTTACGTACTGATTAGTCATAACTAGTAGATGACCCCTTTTCATTTTGGGGTCACAAGGTCAAAGGGGCCTTAAGTGTCAGAATGGTTTCCTCTCATTATCTTTAAAAGTATTTATCCCTAACTATTGAACCCTATTGATTTTGATGTCACTAGATCAAAGGTCAAGGTCACTTGGGCCTTAAATGTTAGAATGTTTCCACTCATTATGTTGAAAACTATTTATCACAAAGTCTTCTTATTTCACATACTAATTGGTAAAAATTAGTAGATAACCCATAGGGATTTTTGGGTCACTATGTCAAATGTCAAGGTCACAGAAGCCTTAAATGTCAGAATGGTTTCCGCTCTTTATCTTGAAAGCTATTTAACACAAAGTCTTCATATTTCACATACTAATTAGTCATAACTAGAAAATGATCCCTTTGATTTTTTGGTCACTAAGTCAAAGGTCAAGGTCGCAGGGGCATTAAATGACAGAATTGTTTCCGCTCATTTTCTTGAAAACTATCACAAAGTCTTCATATTAAACATACTGATTTGTCATTTCTAGTTGATGACCCTAACAAGTTTGGGGTCACATGGTCAAAGGTTAGGGCTGAGTGGTTAAGGTCATTGACTTCAAACCACTTGCCATTCACCGCTGTTGGGTCCAATACTGACAGGGACTTTGGACTCTTTCATGTGAGGAAGCCATCCAACTAGCTTTCGTAACGTCAATGGTTCTACTCAGGTGCTTGTTCGTGCCTGAAATAATGCACAGAAGGACATCAGTAGGGCTTCCTCTACCAGTAAAGCTGGAACGTCGCCAAATGGCCTTAATTGTGTCGATGTGATGCAAACCCAATCAAACAAACAAACAAAATAGGTCAAAGGTCAAGCCTCACTTAACTGGTAGTATGGTTTCCATCCATTATCTTGAAAACTACTATATTAACTATCATTATATTGGGGTCAGTGGGTCAAAGGTCAATGTCACAGGGACATTGAATGGTAGTATGGTTTCCGCCCATTATCTTGAAAGCTATCATATTTTACTTTTATACTTAGTAGATAACCTTTTACAATTTTGGGGTAACTAGGTCAAAGGTCAAGGTCACAAGCACCTTGAATGGTTGTAGGGTTTCCACCCATTATCTTAAAGGTAATTTATCAAAAAATCTTCATATTTCACATAGTGATTGATAAGAACTAGAGGATGACCCCTATTGATTTTTGTGTCTCTAGGTCAAAGGTCAGGGTCACAAGGGCCTTATATATAAGAATGCTTTTTATCTTGAAAACTTTTTAACAAAACTTTATGTTCCATATATTGATTGGTTATCAATAGTAGTTGACCCCTAACGATTTTAGGTCACTGAGTAAAATGTCAAGGTCACAGGGGCATCGAATGTTAGTATTGTTTCGGTTCATTATCTTGAAAACTATTTATCACAAAATCTTCATATTTCACATACTGATTGGACTTAACTATAAAATGACTCCTATTGATTTTGGGTCACTAGGTCAAAGGTCAATGTCGCAGGGGCCTTAAATGTCAGAATGGTTTCTGCTTATTATCTTGAAAACTATTTACGATAAAGTCTTCATTTTTCACATATTGATTGGTCATCACGGGAACATGTCCCCTAATGATATTGGGATCACTATGTCAAATGTCAAGGTCACAGGGGCCTTAAATTTCAGAATTGTTTCCCCCTACTATCTTGAAAACTATTAATTACAAAGTCTTCATATTTCACATGTTGAATATCCATATGTAGTAGATGACCCCGATTGATTTTGTGGTCACTAGTTCAAAGGTCAAGGTCACAGGGACCTTTAATGTAAAAATGGTTTCGGTTTATTAACTTGAGTACTTATTATCACAAAGTATTTATATTTCACATATTGATTTGTCATAATTGGGTCACTTGTTCAAAGGTCAAGGTGTTTGTATTTAACATATTGATTAAGTATAACTAATTGGTCATTATTTTTCTTTTTTCCATACCTGAACACTTCAATGTACCCATTTTTTGTTAAGCTTATGTAACAAAAGTACCAATAATATCAGTCAAGGGTTATTTACTTTATATGAATTTATTTTAGTTCGATAGTATGGAAGATATAAGCTTAATGAAACACTTTTGAATAAGCTCCTGGAACTAACCAGCACTAAGCAATAAAGTATAAAGTTTCTTGCTCAAGGAAACAACAATGGCTTGACCCTGACTGGGTTTGAACGCTCTTGGCCAGCAATCCTAAGATTACTAGTCTGACGCGTTAAACCACTCGACCAAGCCACCACACTGAGGGCTTGAAAGTCGGGCATATGTGTTGTTCGACATTTCTTGTTATTAAATTGATTGTCTTCATATTTAGACACAACATCCTTTAAGTACAAGACCTTAACTTGACCTTGACACTTTAAATGAAATTAGTGAATTTTGCCATATCTGGCCATTTCTGGCCATATCTTTATTGGCGACGCTGATGAGCGGCGTCGTCTCTTATGGAATGCTTTCTATTTTGGCTTACGGAAGGAGCTGTTATTATTAGCAGTTAATGTTATGTTGTGTTAATTAGTTTTATTTTGATTCGTAATGTTGTTATATTTGTATTTAATAACTTTTTGTCAAAAGCATGTGCATTGTGATATTATTTTCACGAAATTGCAGGCTCAGTTTAACAGTTTGTTTATTTATAGATAGGATTTATACTTGGACAATTAAAAGATGACCTTTGAGTTTATTTGACCTTCTTTTTTTTGAAATTACTGAAATTGTTAAAACTTTGTATTTATTTACGATTTATACTTAAACAAAAGAACACAAATGACGAAACCGACATGTTGAGTGATTCAGATATGACCTTGACCGTACCATTAATTTATCTTAAACGTCAATGTCAAATGATTGAACTTTGCTTAAATTGTCAAAACTTAATTTATTCGAAGATTTGATTGACACTTGTACTATCGTACACATAAAACTACATTGACATGTTGAATTATTTAAGTATGACCTTGACCTTTACATGATCATTACTATCAATGTCAAATTATTGAAATTTGCTTAAATTATCATAACTTGGTTATTTACTTATGAATTTGATTTATTCTTGGACACAAGAAAGCATATGGCAAAATTATTTAATTCAAATGTGACATTAACTGCTGAATGACCTTGACTGTCAAAGTCAAATATAAGTTGTATTTTGTTCAAGAAAATTATGTTTTTTAGGAGTAATATATATTGCAATATTGTTACTCTGATGTGGTTGACTTTTGAAGTAAGAAATTCTGTAGGGTGGCCCCACTTACATTTAATATAATTTATGTATTGATTAAGATATTCGGCTAATTATATGCACAATAAGCATAAAAGGTGCTACCGAAAAATTTAAATTTTGGAATTTGTTGTTATTTCATAAAAATTATGTTTTATTGATATGCATATTTACCTAACCAAGCCTGTATGCATCACAAAAAGCACAAAGACATATACATGTACTTAGTATTAATTTATAATTAGTAATGAAAAGAAAAAAATATTGTCGTACATGAGGATAAAAATGTTATAATAATATTTTAAAAGATGGGCGAACTTTAAGCGCCACAATATTGATGGAGAAAATCTTCGAATTAGAAGATGAAGCATCGGCCAATGTTGAAAATAACCAATCTATCCAAGGAACTTCTTTGAACCAGTCAAATACAATTGCTCAAGCACCAGATCCAGTTAACAACAACACCCAAAGCCAAAGAGTATCCCTCGATACTAGTTTAGCGTCATCAAATTCTGCAAGGACTCAGTCAGTTACAGCATCCTTAACGACAAATGCAAGCAGTGGAGTAACCAGAACCCAAAATAGTATGTAACAAATTTAATTGGTTTATCCCTATCGATAAGACAAACAAATGATAGATTGTTTGAAGATTAATGATTACAAAGGGGCTAAAGTTCTTCAGTATATGTATTTTCTGGAGGTTAGAGGAATAAACAAACCAAATTGTTTTCTAAATTTTATATAAATACAATACTAGTGGATACACAACCATGCCTTTTGGTCATATTGTAAAATATTAGTATTTTTAGACATAAAGTATTCAATGTTTTATGTTACTTGGTTATTAGTAACAAGTGAACTAAATGGACATTTTGTCATGAATTTGAATATTTACTTTTACTTTTCACTTTTAGAAAAGTCACAATTATTGGAACAGAAAAAGCTCAAACAAGAAAATGAACAGCTGAAACAACAATCATTGTGTACCAAATGTAAACAAAATGATGTATGCATCGTTTTTCTACCATGTGGACATTTAATTACATGTGAAACTTGTGCTCCTACTATTAGATACTGCTCGGTAGAAGGTTGTGGAAAATATATAAAAGGCACCGTTAGGACTTATCTAGCATAAACTGGTATGCTTTTGTGTGATTCTAGTATCTGTTTAACATGTATATCTAAGTATTGGTTATAATTGTTAGAAACTGATACATTATAAGCTGTGGCTAAACTGATATATATCTATTGTCAGTCTTATTTATTCTTGAAGTTCTTTAAGATTTATGAATAATTCCATTTAAAAAACTCTATTTTAAATGTGTTTCTCTTTCAGAAATGAAAGGTTGGTGTTTTACTTCAAAGAAGTGTTGTTGTCAAGGATTGTATAAAGAATGCAAGGAACAAATTCCTACAGCAGCTGACTAGGACGGCCATGAAATCAGAACTGCAAATCACCATGTTGTTGTTTGCGCATACATGTAATCTTAAAATATGATCACACTAGTGGAACTATGTGATTGAATTTAAATATTATTGGTTAGCACCATAATGCACATCATGAAATTATGAAATGCTGCTAATCAAACATTATATTTAGTAGATAATGCCATTATCGAAGTACCTACACTATGTTTATAGAAACTAGTACTGTCTGACAGTGTAAATTTGATATAAGTCAAATTCAGTTATGTTTAATAAAGAATGTCTTGATTATCTTAAGTGCAGCATACATGGTAAAAAGTAAAATGATGCAATAGGAGAGCTACATTCGTATAACATACTTGGTAAGGTGCATAAGTGTAGCACATGTGGTACAGTGTAAAAGCATAGACAAATTCTTTTAAAAAACAAAAACAATTACTCGTTTTATGAAATTTATGTAATGATTTTAAGGGAAAGGAAAACGGACTTATACGACTGTTATGAATATTTACGCAATAATTACCTACCAAAGAAATATTACATACAACCAAACTAATATTTAAATTGAATAAGTTGAATATAAATGATTGATATGTCAATTGTTGTTTACTTACTATGCTCTGTAAACTGTAAATATGTTGTTTATTATATTTCCCAATGGACTGAAAGCCAAAATGCCAAAAAGCCACACACAAAAAAAAAAAAAACAAACAAAAACACACACACACAAAAAAACACACACAAAAAAAAACTAAAATAAAGCAACACACAAACAAACAAAATCAAAAGAAAACAAAAAAAAAAGACACACGAAAAAAATACCAAAAAATAAAACCTAAAAAAAAAAACACACACACACACACACAAAAACGTTATTTGTCATTTAAACCATTAATCATAATGTTTCTATGTGTATATTTTTTTTTTAGTTGAGAAAGTAAATAGTATTCAATTATTGTATGAATATGAGGTGAAAGTCATTACCATTGACTTAGATATTCACATATAT